CTAATTTAAGGGAACATGGCGCGACGGAACAACAATTAGCTGATGTAATATTAATATTCTTATATTACTGTGATATAAGGAGTTCGAAAAAAGCGAATTAATAAATGATAATAATTTAAACTCTTTTTATAGATTGCAGAAATGATGACACCATCTGAAACTCAACAGCTTGAAAAAGCGCAAAATGCGATAAAAAAACTGGCGGCCACAGAGATACAAATAGATGAAACCTTATTAATCTTAACCACGTATTTCCGTTATCATTAAATTGTTATAGTCTTTTAATTCGTCAGTTTTTCTATATGACACATAAAAATAAAAGTCTTGTATTTATTCATTTATATAGTTCATATTTATTTATATATAATAATGATTACGCTTGTAAAATACAAACAACAAAGAGTACCTAGCTTTCAAATTATAATAAATATAATCATATTTTTTTATGTTTATAATAGTGCTGTTCTCTATTGTGATATACAGTGCATTTGATGTCTCTATCTATGAGGAAAAGTCATCTTGGGTCGTGTCAGCATAAATAAATAATTACATTTTCCCAATGTTTATTCGTATATTTTAATTTAAGCGATAGTGATGAATATATGCGTGCTCTTTGTCAACAATGAAATATGAAGGAGAGTTAGTCACATGACTCACAGCCAGCTTGTGGTGCGTACTTGATGAGACTTCTATTTTAGATTTATTAATTATATTGAACTTGTCATTGTATTCTCAGATGCGATTGTTCCGTTCATAATAAAAGTAAGTGCGAAAACGCACTACATCTTTAAACTTATAAATTTTACTGCTTTATATTGCGTTCCGAAGAATGACTTTTCCTTTCTACTGTATGCTTTGTACGCTCATCTTAACACTGCCGCGATGAAAACTATTCCTTTATGAGTATGTATCAATAAATAAAATTTAAAGTAGTGTTATCAGTAGCGATTTACCCATCATCCTAAATATATATTTTGATTTTATGCTATTGATAGTGATATACCGATAATGTACTACGATCACGACACGAGTAGTGTTAAGATGATCGTGAGAAATCTATTTCACTCATATACACACATCGTCTGACTGGTTTTTATATTCACTACCTTTCATTCTCTTTCTCTTTCTCCCTCTCTTTTATTCTTTCTTTTGTTCTCTTTCACTCCCTCTTTCTTTCTCCCGTTCATTCTGTCTCTCTTCATTTGCACTGGTACTGCATAACTATATACATCCTTCATACATACAAGTTTTTTATCTAGAAATAGTGTCGTATACCCCTAAAACTAAGATTGAATTTCGGTAAAGCGTTATTTTATTATATTTTTTATACCATTAACAACAACGTACATGTAAATGAAGTGAATGCTTGGAATATTGAGAGCGGAGATGTTAGTGTTCACTTTTTCTTTACGTTAAATATACTATAATATTACTAGTATAATTCGATTTACAATTTACTATTCTTACAGTTTGCATTCGCATTGGTTGCATGTAAAGGCCAGTAAATATAATAATCGTGTGCTGATATATTATCGCGTAACATTCGTGATATTTGAAAGTAAGGAGATCGCCACGGATTAAATATCGTTGCTAATTTCAACGATCATTGTATGGATGGAAATCGCAATCGATGGAATGCAGAACCGATTTTTATCAAAGCAAACACTGCGGGCAACAATAAGAATCGGTAAGATTTTTAAAAAAGAGAAACACGGATCCGAACTCCATTGCACGCGCGAGTTACATTGTCAGGTGGTTCAATTTTAAAATTTTTAAATGTGAAAACAATTTTTTAATATTTATTACGAGGGTATGGCACAATAGAAAAAAATGCAACGTGGGCAGATTATTTACCCAAAATATATCATTTTTTTCTGCTAAATGAAAAATTGCCATTGTCTAATAAAATGATTAAAAAAAATTGAATTTCTTTCGAAGTTTACTTTTTGAAAGATTTATCTAAAAAGAGAAACGCATTTTAAAATTTTGAAATAAAAACTATGAATGTGAATAAAATTGAAATTCTTAGATGCAAATCCAAAATCATCACAGATCAAGAAAACGGCTCAAAGGAAACATGTACATAAAAATATTGCATTAAAATTTGATTGAGTATTCGAGCATAAACGACCAACGAACTTTCACTTGCCGTTCTTGTCTAAAACTGGCACGTACAACCTTTTTTTTGCTACTAAAAATAATAAGGCTCGTCACTTAAATAATAGTGTACTAAATAAGCAACGATGATATTGATAACTGTAATATTTATAATAATAATGATAATAATAATAATAATAATGGTGCCATCTCAATAATAATAATAATAATAAAGATAATAATAAAGATAATAATGACATTGAAAATAAGAATACATATCGCATTTAACATTGTTAATCTACATACTTCAAATAGTTATATATATAATGTAGCTACGTAGATACATCACAATATAATTACACTGTACATTAATAATATTGACGCTCGTGTCGGACCGCGGATCGATGATTATCTCCCGACACAATGTACAAATCCATTATATACATAAAATAAATTATTATCAACATTAAGCTACCTTAAATCTGATGCCGGTCGAGCCCCAACAAAACGGGTGCAGATATATCGAGGATACTGGCTCTCTTTATAAAATTATATTAGGTACCGTGTGTGTATGTAATTGCACTGATTATAAATAACAAAAAGAAGAAAACGTGAAAAAAGGAGGAGACGCAAAAAATTCGTTTCACGTCGAGCCAACGAGGCGACTCGGAACTAGAGGTTTTTCTCTCACTCTCTCTCTCTCTTCTTCTTTTTCCTTTTTTTTTTGATTAACCCCCCGCCCGCGAAAACGCTATTTGGCACATAAGTATTATATCACATCAAGCTCCAAATCATTATATCGCCCTGTTCGATCGTCCCATAGACCACTGCCTAGCTACAATTGTGTTCGCCTTTTCATATCGACTTACGTGAGATCGTAATTGTCTCCGTTGATCTCTCCCCCCCCCCCTCCTCCTCCTCATGCACCGCAATCTCCCCTACATTCGTAAATGTAATTCGAAGACGGAGAAGCGCGTGACGCGCCCCTACGAAAATAGAGGCGACGTGTCGAGCATGATGATCAGGTTCGCAGATGCGCGCTGATCTTTCGATAAATAACGCTATAATCCCTTCCGCAACCGTAACCGTTTTTACCGTAACGTTGTACTAATATATCGACGATCCGCTAATTCCCAATGTGTCCGTCCCATTTGAACCCTCTTTATTACGCCCTCTCGCCCCTTTTCGCCCCCTGCCACTCAGTCGACTATTAACCGTCTCGGCTGTCGCCACTTTTACATTAGGGTCAATAAATTAACGGTGAAAATACTATAAGTACTAGGCATTTATATTAAACGAGAAGCCCGTCACGCGTCTACGTACCGGGATTTAATCGCGCGAGCGATTAGCTTCTAGCTTTTTCTCACTCTGTTCCGACCTTTCGTTCGGCGCGTCGAACACAGTTGTTTTATATATATATGATGGAAACATTCAAACAACTGGCGGTCGCAAGATAAGATTGCCACGTGCGGCGTCTACGCGTTTGGACGCGTGTGATCGTTGCGGAAGATGCTGCGAGATAGACCAGTTTCTATTTATTCGTTTACTCTTTTTCTTTTCTTTCTCTTCTTTCTTTTCGTTTCTTTTTCTCCGATATGATCGTCCGGAAATCGGCTATATCGTTAGTCTCACACACACATACATACTAAGAGAAATAGGAACAAGACTTTTTGGCCATGCATCGTGTCGCAACGTGTACGTGATATCGGTTACGTATCCAAGTCCGATAAGGAGACCGGCACGAGTTGCGCATCCGAATCAGCGCGCGATTGTCTTATTATGCGTACATATGCGCGTATTCTCGCCTCACGCTCCGTGCGCATACACGCCGAATGTAGGGACTGAATTACAAGAAGCTGCTTGATTTTTGGCCGCTAGTTCAATGCCGGTTATCTCTAATCGTTATCTCTACACGTTAGCTACCGATGATCGAAGTCTGTCGTGTATAAGACACAACCTTCTTAGAATGTTATGTAAATATTAAAACAGATAAATAATATTTATATAATATTCTAGAAATATTGTGTGCTTATAAGGAAGTTCCATACGGACTGCAGTTTTGATTACAATGCAGGAGAATATACAGGAAATACTGCCGATGTGCGTAAGAGAAGTCGTCCTCCATGTAACCGCCGCCTGTGTAAGCAAATTACCAAACGAAAGATGTTATAAGAGACGTGCGAAAGATTAGGATGTCTAACAGTTGTCTTTTAAAATCTTACAACGTCCTGTTGTTTCAGTTTGGATCGCTTGGACCGTTTGGAATTTTCAATGCATTCGAAAGAGTTCGTTTAAGAATTTCGATTGAGCAAAAGCGAGCAACTGAAATATCTTACACAAGAACAATTTATGAACTGCGGCCATTATCGTATACAGATAAACATTCGGATCTTGATACAGATTGTCTCGAAATTGCGTTGTACTGCGCAGCGATGAAAAAAATCCAAAAATTGACATGCAAAATAATACACGCGAAAATAGATCGAATTAAATTTTTGAAAATAAGCAATTTACAAAGAAAATAAATTCAATTATTTCGGCATCACTCCCCTTGATTTTAATGAGCTTTGGATATATGAACGTTATGTATTAAAATGAAAGATATACATTTTTTTTTAAATATTCTTACTTTAAGGGATATAAATACAATTTTAAAACAAATTAATTTTAAGTCTTTTATATAAATAATCGGTTTCTTCTAATCTCGTGTATTATCTAAAAATGCTAAATTCAGTCATATATGATAATTTTTATATACAAAGACAATACAATTTTCAATCTTTAAAAACAAAATCAGCCATTTTTACGAGATATTAAAAGTACAAATGATATAAACAATGAATAAATTTATATGTAAAACCAAATCACAGTTTTCGGAAAACAATTTTATTGGATAGCTCCATTTGGTGTAAATTATTTAGAGCTTACACAACATATTCAAAGCTTTAAATCAAGAAAGTAGTTGGATTTTCTTGTTTTTTTCTTCTTAAAGACTATGGCACATAAAAAAACTTAGTAGTATAAATACTAAGCAGTAAGCAAATCGATCAATCACAATAGAGATCATTAGACCATAATGTAAGCAATAGCGAATCCAACATGTTGATTCCTTACCGCTTAAGTCTTACATCTTAAGTTTCTGTGTCAAGGCTTTAAATGAGCACTATGAATTGGATGTCAGATGATGTTAAAATATTTGCTGAATTTAAAGCAGTTGTTGTTATCAATACGACAGCGCATATAAGTTTGTCGAGTACTGTATCGAGATCCGCGTACTTATTCAATACAGATCAAACGGACTAACTGATGTAAAGATTACGTATAGCGAACACACCAGCATTTTTTTTCAATAAGTTTATATCGAAGAGCAAGAAAGATTAACGATCGAGCGACGTCGCGACGGAGATGCTCTCGCGCTTTTACTTCGTGGATAGGTCCTTCGCGTTTCACGTACGATGGCACAGAAATAGAACGTTATATCACAACCTCCGGCGAGAGGTTTCGAGACGCCCGACTCTTCTTTCCCCGAGAAGTAGTATCCTCTTCCAGTTCACTCCGTCGTGCAGAGAAGTGCAGTTCGCGGACATGTTCCTGCGATCGCGCGTTCACGGTCGGTGTCGCACATGACACCTCGACGTTGTCACACTGAGACGGATGATTCCGATTACCAGAAGAGTTCGTAAGCGAGCCTCGACGTAGACGCGGCCGCTGCAGTTGCTGCGGCCGCCGCTGCCGCTGCCACTGCCGATGATGACGATGATGCTCCGGGCGGCCAAAGTGGCTGACCCGGAGCTGCGGTTCAATCCTCATCGTGGTGCCGTGGACTCGCGTCGTAGCCGCCGATCGAGCCAGAATTTTCGGGTGAGAAGTTCATCATGTCCGTGGGCGACAGACTGTCCTGTGGATAGTAGAACGAAGGATGGTCCGAACTTGGGCCGGCAGCACCGCCACCACCGTTCAGCATCGTCGCCGGCGGCGAGACCGATGGTCGCGCCGACGGACCGGCGCCCGTGCCCGGGTGATGCTGCGTGCCAGTCATATCGGCACTTACCGGTGACAAGAAGTTCATCTCAGTGCCGCCGTCACGGCACCATAACTGCCGCATCTCCTGCCGCCGCTGCCGCATCAGCGACTTGTACTCGGAGATACGCATCTTTTTGCCGTCCACGATGCACGTGCGCTTTGGCCGCGGCCGGTACCTGTAGTCTGGGTGCTTTTCCATGTGCAACTTCGAAAGCCGCGACTGTTCCTCGTAATATGGCTGTTTCTCCGAGTTTGACATCGACTTCCACCGGGCGCCTGTAACCGATATAAAGAATATGTGTTGAAGTGGAACACGTTTCTTTGATCTAATTTTTCACATAAATTAAATTAAATCAAATGTATCGAACAATTTCTCATTGTATTCTCTGCTTGCGATTTATATTATCTTTGAGTTTTAGCACATATTTGCGAAATTTTATATTTGTTCACATTGATGGATGAACTAATAAATTTATGATATAAATAATTGATATATGTAATTATATAATTTAAAATAATGATCAATTAAAGGCTTATTAAAGGTATAATTATAAAAGCTTTTCTTAAAAAATATATCGTTACTACTAAAAAGTAATACAGTTCAAAAAATTGAATTTTTCAACAATAGAAAATTAATTAATTAAATAATATCAGCAAGAAGAATATATTCTCAAAAATGAGATCAAATAGAATCACTTTGGTCATTTTTTATTTCAGAATCTTTAAAATACCATCCTTTTTGGAATCATACAAAATTACGACAGAATGATTCATCAAATGTGACAGAACTCGAAATATTACCAACAATTTATATTTATCTTGATGAGTTAAAATTACTAAAATATTTTCATCTTCAAACTGTAAAATTGTCTTAACTTTAAATATTCTCTATGTAAAAGACTATCCTAAATATTCTTATTTACAAAATGACAGTCAAAATGTGTCACTCTTGTAAAAGGTATTATGTATCTCTTTGAAAAAACTTTTTAAGAAGAACATGAGTACTATTTGGCGGACGGACTGTAAAATTAAGTGTTTACTTTTGATGATTGATAGAGTAATCATTACCTAACTAAATTCATGGCAATAACTCGAAAATCACATTTTTAAGTTGTATAATGACTTTGAAAGTAAGGGAACGATAATTATTCCATAATTACATCCATTAGAAAAATCGTTATAGTTGAAGCATTAACTGTAATCGTGCGAGTGACGTGTATGGATCAGATATACTTACCGAGAATTTTCGATATGTTCGAGTTGTGCATGTCTGGGCAGGCTTTCAAGATCTTTCTACGTTCGTCCTTGGCCCACACCATGAATGCGTTCATAGGTCGCTTGATATGTGGCTTGTTCTCACCCTCCCTTTTCTGCTGCCTCACCATTTTAGCTGAAGAGAAAGAGAAAGAGAGACGGGGCGTTAGATGTCACGTCGTCGTCGAGATTCACGATACTCTCGTGAGAAACGAATCTGATTTCGCGAGGGCGTCACTTGGCGCTCTCAAAACAAGAGCGTAATAGTAGTCTAATCGTTACTCATAGAAGTGCTTACCTTTTTCCGTTATGTCTTCCGCTACTTTATATCCCGGATCTCGCCACACTGCAATTTCAAAACCAAATATATCATATATACAAGATATGCGACGTTACGTGGAAGACTATTATGCATAGTTTATAGTACTAATACAATCATTATAATAAATATTATATGCACCTTACAATATTATTTATATTTTTCTCAAAAAGAAAAAAATTTACATAATATTAAATTATTATAATTTTTACATGTTATATGCACATTTAATTTCATTTCTTTCATTCTTGATTTTAACTTGATTTTGACTTGAATTTAACTTGAATTTATGACACGCTATCGCATTATTTCAAAAAAGTCTGAAAGATCTGAAGATTCTACATTTGTCAAAAAATGCACGCTACGTTTGAAACTATATTAAGTGTTCTTTGTATCTACTTCGCGATCCGTCTCGCGATTAACGCGACGCTTGTTCCTCCACGTCCACTTACTGTGAGGCGTCGAGAGAAAATCCTGTTCCTCCTGAGGCGGTTCCTCCCGAGAGCCAGAATGCTTGATCGGTCTTTGAGTCTGGGCCGACGGTGGCATCCCACCTGTGTTCGATGGCAATCCGTACAGCCCGTGCATCGCGAAGTGCTTTTCCACGGCCGCGACCGCAGCGGCCGCCACGGATCCTCCCGGTCCGCCGGCCTCGTCTTTGGCCATTACCTTGCCCACTGTAACGGGTTACCGGAGAAACGGAGTGAAAGATGCGTAGATAGAGATACGAAAACGAAAGAGTTCACATTTTTAAGATATACTTTACAGATATCTTTTAAGATATATAGAGTAAGATGTATAAAGTACTAAAAAACAAAGACGTAGAGCAGAGAATGCGATGTTTCTGACTTTTTACGCGACTTGAAATTGATTTTGCTTTCAGAAAAAAATTTATATTTGGGACTTTACGCGTCTTATGTTAGTTCTTTTATTTCGTCAGTTTTATTATTTAGCAGACTATCCCGAATTTCATCACTTACAAGGAAACCGTCGGAACTCTCTCATCAATTTTGATGGGCACTTTGCATGTTATACACTATTATAAAGTATCAAAAAATATTAATATTAATACGTAACACCCGTATTTTTTATCTGCTTATCTGAAAGTTATAACAATCTCTCAAAAATAACAGATTTTTTTTTCATTTTCATCGAATATCTTCGAAATTAGGTATATGAAAAAATGTTCTGTGTAAAAGTTTTATATTTTATACTCTTAATATAGGTTTTTAATTTACCCTCTCCAGTTATTTCGAGACTTCTAAACTTTGAAATAAGCAAATAAAAAAGTTCTAATACTTTTTAGTTCTAATACTTTTTACAATCATATTTAAAGTCGGTGATGGATAGTTTCGATAATTTTTTTGATAATTAGTCAGACTACCTGGATTACTGAAACAGTTTTTCAAAGGAAATTGGCTTTAAAAAAATTTGAAAAAATTCTGGTATATTTTTTAATATTTAGAAATACAACAAATATAATTATGTGACTTAAAACATATTTCTTAATTTTTTTACATGTCAATTTTGAGGCAGAATCAGCAAAATAATTTAAAATAAAAAAATCGTCTGGGTCTTCAAATCCTCACATGATCTGCAGAGGATTAATGTATTACAGTTAAATAAGACATTAGAATTTTTTCAAATAGAAAGAAATATATTCTTTTCTCTGAAAAGAAATAGCGAAGAGCTTGCTGTCGTTCGATTGCGCTTGTAAAATAAATATTATTTTCAAAATCGTTTCCAGGAATTTTTTTTCCGCTACTGGATCTTTGACACAATCTCAAGTTCAGATATATTTTTTAGTACTCCATGTATGTCACGGAATGAAATAATGCGCGGCGATTGCTACGCGAAGAGATTCGCTCTTAACGTTACAATGACGGCCTGCGGATTTTCTTCCCTTCCTCGCTTATGCGAATCGCGCGTCGTGCGGCCCTTATCGGGCGGAATCGCGTTACGCATCGTTGATTATGAGTACGCCGGTATCCGTGGCAAAAACCAGATGGCAAGTGAAACAGGTTCTCTGGACGGCGAGCAGCCGTGGAAAAAAAACCTCGGCTGCGGACAATCGGGAAAACTAGCCTGCTCGAAGATGATTAAGTGTTCACCGCCGGCATGAAATCGCATACTCTGGAGGTACCAACCATGCCTTTCTCTCTTGGAATCCATTTACGGCAATCGGCAATTTGCAATTGTTCCGCGGGACGAACGCGTCGCGTAATCGACGCAACCACGAGTTCTGGTAATGCTCGGATCGCAACAACGGGCGTTACTTTAATCGCGGTAATTCGGATGAATTCACGAACGGTCGGTCGATTATAATAGGTACGCAATTTGCGAAATGCGCTGTAGTGAAAGCGTACACGTATATCGCATAAAGATAATTAACCGTTGTGAATAGCAACAATCTCTCCAGAATATCCGCGAAATGTCATTTCGACACGATACTCGACTTCAACGCTCTTCAATCTCACGCTAAGCGATTAAAGCGAATGAACACGAATTTTCACTCACTCGGCGAAGACAGACTGCTGAGATGTGGTGGTAGACCAGCGTAAGGAAGCGTCGGCAGGTAATTCCGCGGTATCGGCAGTCCTGGCGGAAAAAGTTTGGGCGCGGTCGCCGCTAATGGTTGCTCCTGCTGGCCGCTGCTTCCGGCACCGGTCGAGTGCGAGTCACTACCAGGCGACGAAGAAGACGCCGTGGCGCCCGAGGACGTCGATTTCGGCTTGGTGAGGTTCAGTGGGGCGTCGAGATCCTGAAGAGGCGGAGCCGTTGGTGCTACCGCGGATGAAATCGGCGCCGGCGACGACGATTCCTTCTCCATTTGCGTGGTCATCTGAGCGAGATGCGCGGTCGCCCAGCTTGGACCTTCTCGATGGCTGCTGATCATCTGCGAACGAATGAAAAATCTTAGGAATGTCAGACTAATGAATTGAAATTTCTCGATCGGAATAGTACTAATGTTAACTTGGCGTTACTAATATGAAGTAAAGTTTATTAAAGTTTAATTATTTTAAGAACTCAAATCAACGTGCAATTTTTAGAATACTTGGAATTAAGTTTGATTCTCAGACGAAATTATAAAATTTATGTTATTAAAAGTTATTAAAAATTGTTTTTATTACAATAATAGGGCAATTATAAAAATAATACTATATATATACAGTTTATTTTTAATAAATGTTAGGATTTTAATGTTTTTTTCATAATTAGATTTTTATATCTCTGAAACGAGCACTCTTGCAGAAATCCAATTTAATACTGATAAAAATAGTGATTAATTATTATTAATTTTGAATATTAAGGCACGTATATCTTTAGCAGCTACATTAGTTGTGTGACATCAAAAGCGAGAAATGACATTTAATAAATTAATTGCTACATTATAGCAATATTTTTTAATTTTCCCTTATAAACATGACAATTTCATAATTTTGAGACCTGTAAAATATACGGCAAACTAAAACATTTATTTATATTTAATATTTCACATAGAAATGTAAATAACTATCATCATACTTTCTGACAACTGAGATAATATACTATTATTTCAGAAATCATTTTACAGGAAGTATTCCATATCGGACAAATGTCTCAGTTTACCGCATATTTTATAAGTTTTTAGGATTATGAAATTGTTTCAAAAAAAAAAATAATAATAATGTGTCCAGCAATTAATTAATTACATGTTATTAACGTGCCTCTGACGTCATACAACTAATGTAGAATGGCAAGAGATAGCCTAATAAAAGTACCGTTCAATTCTTAACAAGTAATTAAACTACCTTCCAATATTAGATTTCTGTAATAACAGGTATAGCGAGAAATAACTAATATGGCGAAAATAGTGCGTGATATTATGAAAGAGCGAGCGTTGCATGAAGCTACGACCGATACAGGCGATATCGATAATCACCGGGTCACATACATTGGCGATGGAGTTGATGTGTTTGTTGCCGGTGGTGGCGGTTGACGTGGCTGGCGGTGGAGGCATGGGCGACTGCACTGGCAGCCCTCTGAGCTGTTCGAGAAACGGCAGAAACATCAGTGACTGCGGCCCCGACATGCTCAGCTGGCTCTTTGTCATCTGAGCCTGCAACTCCTGGATGTTGTGCTGCATGATGTGCTCTTGCTGCCGCTTCAAGTGCTCCGTTTGCAGCCGCTGCATCTCGATTTGCTTCTGCGAGTCGACCGTCATGTGAGCGGGATACGACTGTAAAAGCACACAGACCACTAATTAAAGGGACGCTGTGCATGCCGGCTCTCATACAGAGGAGTTGTGAGATCCCTTGCACGCCATCGCGAGGGTGACCGTTCCACCTTGACAGCGGCTTATCCGCGTGCCTCGTGGATGAAATACGTCGGACGTATTGCCGGGACAATGCGAGTGTGAAGTAAATTGCGCGACGCGATTGCCACTTTATACCGCCAACGACTCGATGCGTCGTAAATACCGTTTTGGGCTCCCTCGTTATATTTCGCCTATATATATACTTTAGACTTCGAGCGAATGGCTGCGAATAAGTACGTTATTATATGCGCAGTTGCCCGAACGAGATTTATTTTTTCCATTACTGTAAAAAAGATTACGCAGCGCAAAAGTCATTTAGATTTTTTAATAACCTGACGCAATCCACACCGTAAAAAAATTACATATAAAATTACAGTGCATAATTTTAGAAGTTATTATTAACATATATATTTACAAGTAAATAAAGGTACAACTTAGATAATTATTTTTCTTTATAAGTAAATTCACAGTGAATTTTAAGTTTACAGAAAAATATTTATCATAAAATAAAAAATTTTTCAACAAATTATGTACAATTATTTTTCTTAAATGATATGTATATGAACGTAAAAATGCAAATATGTGTGATATTTATTCGTTATATTATAATATTATAAAAATTTATATATTTAAATAAAAATTATGCAATATTTTTTATCAATTTTATTGGTAGTAATTTCCTGTTTAATATAATACATATTTATATAATTAGAAAGAAACTATTATATTTACTAAATTTTTGTGAAAATGCACAGTTTTTAATATTTCTACTATAAATTGTGTAATTTTTACACATGTTATTTATATAACTTCATATTTTACAGTGCAGAAACATTCTAAGCGAATACTTTGTTGCTTGAATGTATAATTACAACGTGCATTATGAACAGTTGCACCATATTTGCAAAATATTTTTTAGTTTTTAATGATATTAATTATATAAGTTTAGCTAACGAGGTCATTATGTTACATTTACTAAACTTATATAAACACTACGTTATTTCTTTTATTCAAATTAAATAAAAAAATTGTGTTGCGTCGCATTTCAATTTTTACTGATTTCATAATGCAAAAATTTAAACTGCAAAAGAAATCGGTTCTTGATGTTAACAAATCGACAAATTCGAATGGCTATCTCGAGTAGTCTATCTATTGTTTTTTTTTTATTAGGATAAAAATCTTTTATAAAATATGCTAATTACAGATATTTGTTAAAAATATAATTTTTTTAAACTTTTTTTAAGATGAGATATTTTATACTAACATAACTGAATATAAAGAGGATATATTAAAAATTTCGCGTTTCAAGTTATCAAAGGTATTTTAATACGAAATGTATATTATGATGCCCGTCATAAATGCATACTGATAAATATAATAATATATAATAGTACGTCAAAAAGATGATTACTTCATAACCAAATAAAAGTTAAAGACCTAATTGTGTGTGTGTGATTGATAATATCATACGATTAAACGATTCGCAAGCCAAGTGCATCGCCAGCAAATTTTTACGATTAATATTGTATTAACAGTTTTGAAGAAGCACGCCGACAACGCGTTTAGACGAGCGAGTATCCGATCCACCCTCCATAGGAACGCAACAATTTGCGCGACAAATATCATTGTACTTTCCTACGTCCTGGCTACGATCCAGATATGCGTGGAGTTTATTTTAGACGATAAGGAAGACGTTTATTCATCCAGCCTGTGCACCAGCTGAGATGTCACGCGCGCGCGCGATGCTGGATGCACCCGCGGTCGCCCTTCTCCGATTCCGAGTCGCGCGCTCCCAATGGCGGTTCTCTCGGGGAACTTTATCGCTGAGACGTAGAACCGACGTAACACTGGTTTATATTTTATAAATAGTTATGGCGGAAAATAAAAACTGCAGGGCGACACAAAAATCCGCGCAAAAACATGCAGCGTTGCACAAGCGACGATAAGCGTGACCTTCCGTGTCGATTGGACATTGCCGGATACTTCTTATTGGTTTCTGCGGATTATTAAAAACGATAGAACGAAAAAAAAATGTATGAGCAGCATATTCTAACATATTAACGCGAAATGATTACAATGTACGAAGCGCAAGATGTCAATATGTCGGTCATTTATCGATATAAATAGTATGTTTTTCAACTACAATATTAACCTATATATATATCAATATTTAATTTTAACAAATAAAAATAAATTATTTTTTCTCTACATTGCAAAAAAAAAACCGATTTTGCTGAAGTATCTAAAAATTTAGCTAGACCTGAAAATAATTTCCTTGAATCATCAAAATAATTATATAGAACGCGTTGATAATACTGTTGCAAAAAGTTGCAAAATATTTTAACCAGTTTGAGCGTTCAACATAATTATTTTGATGGTCCAAACAAAATTATTTTCGGATCTATTATATATTTAATTAAATTTTGAGATACGTATTTTTTAATAAAATCATTTTTTCCATGATATTTTGAATTGCCATTTAAAAAGGAATAATAAAGTTATAATAATTAATTCTAATTAAAAGTTACATAATTTTGTGTGTGTGTGTGTGTGTGTATGTGTGTAAATACGATTAAAGTTAGATGTGGAATGATATTTCTATACATATATTTAAAATAATTTTGCTGTAATTAGCGCTTCTCTTATTTATAAGAGATCTTCACGATATATCAAATTCTATTGAAACTTTGTGTACTTATAGTTTACATAAATAGATGAAAATATAAAAGTTGAAATTGCTTTACATATAAGGGATGATGATTTCATTCCTTAAAAACGTTTATTTGCCGCTACTATTATAATATTTTTCAAATTCATCTATTGATATAAGATACAAATATGGTATACAAAATTTCATAAAAATCAAAATTTGACACTTCGCAAGATCCCATTGTTAGTTGATTTATTCATATGCAGTCTCGTTTTAACTTATTGACTATTTATATATATATATCTCTATTTTTGCCTACATTTTTTCATATTAATCAATAGAGATAAAAAGTACTTTTCAATAATGCATAGAAATTAGGCTTGATGTACAGCAAAGAATAAATATATATATATATACATTACGGGATTAAGAGTATCGTATGACTGTAGTCTTCATTCTCTGTACTCGCTGCCGTTACTATCTTTTACGATGCGTCGTTGGTACGACAAGCCGTTCAAAGACTGCCGAACTGTGCGTTTATGTCCCTGCGAGCGTCCCAATGAGCGCATGTGCGTTCATTGAGACCACATGTGTCGCGTTCGCTTCGGTGGCGCGAGGGATCGGCCACCGGGAGACAATGAGTCGCGACCGGGTAACGCCAATTCGGGTAACATCTTCGGTTTACGGCGTCTATAATAGATAAGAGAAAGAGAAAGAGAAAGAGAGAGAGAGAGAGAAAGGGACGACTGGAACTTCATTATTCATTTGCACAGTTCAGTTATGCCGATGATACGTATCCGTGACAGCTATACCGCCCACAGTGGCTAAATATAAACAGGCGGGGTGCCAGCAAGTTCCATTCACATTCACATCCACACGCGATGCGGCGGTTTAGTAAGTGAGCATAAGAATATGAGGAGCCCCGTTCTGAATATGCATCCGCGCATTGACGCCAACTGCACCGCCTAAACTTAGCCACGCAATTACCGAAACATATTTACCCCCGTAATCGCTCTTCGGCCGATTATCTATCGCGAACGATATAGAAGCTCGATGCGACGTACATCTAGATCGGTCACATGTAAAATTGTGATTAAATAATTTCACATGAAATAAATTTACTAAAATTATAATTTAAATCGGTAAACTATATATATGATTTTGTGTAATCTAAATACAATTTTGTATATCGGTACCGTATATTATTATACAGTATAATTAGTACGTTCGTAGTATTGTTTAATGATAAACTTTGTCAAACAACTATCAAATTATTGTCTACAAAATAGAATATAACCAATAGAAAATAGGACCCATAACTGTCGAAGCTGGAATATCTTTGGTGCTCGAATAATTTGGTGTGAATTTATATATTATTTACATATCAAATTCTGCCAAACTGCGCGCCGAATTAATTTTATGGTCTTAAAACGCTATACCGACAGAACCATATAATAGTACTATCATAAAATTAAATTATCTAATAATTTAATAATTTGATGCTCGCAGGCGTCTTGGAAAGTTCTTAATAGTGCTGATAGAGTCATCATGACGTCAAAATGATTATTAAGAAAAAGTCACTTTCCAATTAATTATGATAAATGTTATCGTGATGACCTGTTCTGCTTCGGAGAATATGTATTTTGTGAGAGTCGACGATCGACGAGTGATTTTCGTCAGTGCGACACGCGGGGCTAAAGGCCACGGAAATTTGCTTGTCCAGATTTAGAATCGGAGCCACTGGAGTGCGAGGGGACATGACGCGGATCCACCGGAAGTGGTTCATACTTCACGTGCGTTATAAAGACTGTCACTGCGGGTACTGTCTAAAATTACGTCGCGCTGCCAGAAGCGACTCCAACGTGAACTGCCCGCGCACGTAGATCGGATTAAGACCCCTCTTCCCATCCTGGATATCAGCGACCCGCAATCTTATAGCGTTCGTCTTCGTCTGAGATATACAAGCGTTATGAATAATCGATCGCGAGAAGAAGCCGGTCTTGCCCGGCCCTTCTCGCGGTTGGACGAGACAATGAGAAGCTGAATAAAAAAGTGCCGCTGTACTCCTTAATGGAATTTTAAAAGAGAGACATGTAGAATTTCTGACGACAAACAGGGAGGCGGCCGGTGGATACATAAATTATGGACCACTTTGAACGGGATTCGCGCTTGCTCTGTACGGGACCATCGCTCGTCGCAAAGACAGGAGAAAAAGAGAAATAGACAGAGAGAGAGAGAGGTGGGGGGAGGGACCAGTGAATTGCGGGAATCT